GTGAAATGCGGTGTTGCTGAAATCATGTCGATGAAAACATTGTCGGTGAAATAATTGTTGATTTTCTTGACTCGACTCCATAAACTGAACCACCGGGGTCGTCTAGTTGGTAAATAAATTCTTACAAACACCAATCGATGTTGGTATTCTTCTTCGAGGAAATCTTACAAAAACCATAAATGAAATGCGTATATATGGCGTATTCACGATAGAGAAATTCTCGCGGCATCTTGATATGAGATCGTGCAGCGTACTATATAAACGTATTTATGTATATATTATATATATTATTTATATATATTTACACATATTATATTATATATTACATATAAATTTATATGCATTATATTATATTATATATTTCTGCTCGGCAAAAATTAATGACGATATCAATTACTTCAGTAAGTAAGCATAAAAGTTAATGTTAACATAAAATACGATACGGAAAACAATACGATCGTAACGCTGTGTCGACGAAACGCCAGTTCGTTATCATTCTATTCATTGGTTATAACTCTTTAATTAAGCATTTAAGACCATATATGTTCGTATAACATTTTTTTTTCTTATATTCTCCTTCCTGATATTTGTTATTGTAAAATAAGACATAGTGTAGATGTTTTTGGCTCATTTGAAAGTTCCAGTATTGACAATCATTATCTCAAGTAGGACTATCATTTTGATAATTAATTCCCAAAAGAACGATGAATCGTGTACTTTCTAGTAAGTGCTGGCGTTGAAAGTGATCTTTACCGAAGGCTGATGATGATGGGTGATCATATATTTTCCCTTATTAATCATTCGCCTCGTAAGTATCGGAAATACAAATTGCCTCAATAATAATAATAATTTGATCCTTAAAAAAGCAAATGGAAGTTGCAGATAGAAAGTTAATCACTCGTTCAGCATATTACTGCCTATTATATGGGCGCATGCCATGAATATTACATCAAATAATAACAACATTCCAATGGCAATAACGGTTTCAAAAATGTTTCTCTATTTGACTCGAGGAGATCGCTTCTTAGGATTCACTACGATATTTGATAAAAGTTCGAAGCCCTTCGATGCTAAAGCACCTTCTCAATTTCGATTAACATCGCCGCGAGAGAATTAATCTCGAGGATAATCATGAAAGGTCACAGGAAATCTGCATCGTGACTCTGTAACAGTTCATCCTTCGAACCTCTCCGGTAATGATGTAATCGCGCGACCCTAAGTACACGTTCCCTGCGCGTTCTACGCGCATGAGAAACTTAATTTTCCAGCAATTCAGGAGCATGTAACCGACGTTACATCGCGCCGACGAACGCTATACGGCATAATTTACAAACAAGCATAAAAGTTTCAAGGAACATGCGTTTTAAATCTACTTGAATGCACACAGTGCGTTTATACGTGTTTGCGTGCAGATAGAACGTAATTTACTAGCGTTTCTTGATTTTACTGATTACGAAAATGTTTTATAAGAACTGCGAGATCCTGGAAATTAAGAGATCTCGGTAATCAATTTATTTGATAATTCCCTGCAAAGAGATATTTTCATAGTCTCGATAATTGCAAAATTATTCATTCGTTTTGATCTCTTCGGTAGTATGTGCTGGCATTATTAAACATTTGACGCATAAATATTTTCTTCTATCTGCGTCATTCCTGACCTTAAATAACTTTTCATACTTGTTTCCTTTCGTCGAAAGAAAATTTACGTCATTAGATCCCTCCGTGGTAATAGCTGTGGCACATGCATAGAAAATGAAACAATTTCGAATTTGATCAAATTTATACGATTTAAAACTATTCTCAATTAATTTTGCGTATCCAAGATATATGTATCACAGTATTAGGTTGGTGCATAAATGAAATGTCAGATTTTCTTTACGTGTGAACATTTGTCTCCCTGTTTTTGTTATGCTTTGTTTTTGGCATAACCTCGTTTATAGTCATACCGTCCATTGCCAGAGTCATATTATACAAAGAAGATTTTCTCAGAAGTGTTTCGTTTTGTTATTTGTTTCGAATTTCGTAAGGATATGATTTCAACCGATATTCGTGTAATTTTTTTATATGAGTATAAACTTGGTAACAATGCTGCAAAAGCTGCACGCAATATAAACCAGGCGTTCGGGGAGAATACTGTTAACGATCGAAAAGTGCGGCGTTGATTCGAAAATTTTCGGTCTGCTGATTTTTCCCTACAAAATGAACCGCGTGGAGGACTCAAAACGTCTGTGAAAAATGACGCTCTGAAAGTATTGGTGGAAACGGATATGACTGGAGTAATTCGCTACTCATTCCTTCGAACTGGGGAGACAATTACAGCCGAAAAGTATTGCTACTACATTGATGAAGTGCATGAAAAATTGAATTTTATACGCCCTATCGCTTGTTAATCGGCATGGCCCAATACTTCTCCGCGACAACGCTCGGCCGCATACGTCGTACAAAACAATTGCGAGATGAAATGAATTAAAATATGAAATTTTGCAGCACCCAGCTTATTCGCCGGATCTTTCGCCAACCGACTTTCATTTTCTTAAACATTTAGAACAGTTCTCACGGGCTAGACAGTATGAAAATGAAGACAGTCTGAAAAATTCCGTATCAGAGTTTATTGATTCTAAAGATCAGAATTTTTCTTTCAAACAGGCATCTATGCATTAAAATTTCATTGGGAAAAGTATATTGAAGCAAATGGAGCATATTTTGATTAAATGAACAGCTTTTGAAAAAAGATATACAGTTTTATATATTCGCTTAAAAATCCGACATTTCATACACATCAACCTAATATAATATAAGCGTGCGTAGCTTGCACGGACAAACTAAATTAGGTAATAGTTCAAACTATTATTATCCTACTTCCTTTCGCTATCGTTCTCAAGAAACGATTCCCGCGAACGTTGAACGAAAATTATTTTTATAGCGAGTCCCATTGTTCACGATATTGCACCGGCAATATAGTTCATTTAGGAACAGTTCGAAGAGCCATAAACTCGACGAATCGGTCACTATCATCTGTCGATCATCCACGCATACCTGTTGTTAATTATAACGTCCCGGCGTGCCTTGTAAATTGTGCACGTGTTGCTGTTAGTCATCCGCAAGGGAGAACAGCGAATTGATGTTACATGCGCGCTTCGATTTCGTTCGGTCCGCGAACGTAATCGCAACCGCGTCAGTTACAGTTACATCAATTTTGCTACCACGGAAGGGTGCGCAGCTGGTCGGCGAAAAGAATTCTTTAATTGACGTTTGAAACACATTGTAATACCGTTTCGCGTCCCTTTTTCCTTCGACACCGCGCATAAATATCCCGCGATCGGCGTTTAAAAATTTTAAGACGACGTTTATGCGCTCTTAAACGGGAAGACGATCGCGACCATCGGTGGCCGATGGTCCGAAGTCTTTGTTTTTCTAAAAAAAAAAGGCTGCCCGCGCTACGTTCAATTTTAGTCGATGATCTGCGGCGCTCGGTGGTCCGAAATCCCGAAAACGTAGTCTGAACGTAAAGAGGAACCGGGTTAATTGCAAATTTTGATGGATGCTGATTACGAATCTGGTCTTAAGACGTCAAAAAACGAAATAACGGAGAAATGTAAACAAATTATTTAAACAGAGATGTAACAGAGATGTAACGTTCGAAAATCATAAAATTTTTCTCTGAAACACTTTTGAATATCATTCATAATATTCGAGAGAAACATGGTGGGAATTACTGATATCGAATACATTGCATTATACGAAGCAGCGATGCTAATCAATCCGCAGCAAATTGCATATACTGCAAAAGATAAAAGTATAAACTAAAAATTCCCGACAAGAATTTTCACAGAATGTTGAAGTATGTACAAAACTTTTTTACGCGCAGCACTTTAAACCGTATTTTATTACTATAGTACACGTATGATGGTTAACAATTTTGACAACACCAGTGCTGCTGTACTGTTCTATTTACTTCCACAAACAGCATCTATTTCACAGAATTAAATAAAATACTTGACTAAAGAAGGTCATCTGCTTTACCATTTTCTCCCACACGTCCACCATAGGGACATCAATAAAGTATCTTAACCTTAAGACAGCGGACTTCGATATTGTTTTAAAACTTGTATTGTGTTTATTATAACATCTGGTAAAATATTTACAAAAAGAAAATTAGAAAATTAAAAATTAAATCGTTTAATATTTTAAGTTTAACATCAATTTTCAAGGTTAATAAGTGTTCATATTTCACTCATTCTCTCTATTTTCCCCTGATTTTACAACGTATAAAGGTAAAGGCGTGTGTGAATAATAATAATAAGTGTCTAACCGTGCACGTGTAATGTATAACAAATAATAATTTAGTAATTAATTAATTCGTAAATTAATTTGTTATTTAATGTACTAATTAATTATTGATTTGTAAAACAGCAATAAGAATAAACTAATCAACGATAATTTAACGAAAAAATCGATAACAACAGTAACGAAGGAAAGATAACGAAACAACAATGATAAAGATTTCCAACGATATACAGTAATGTCTCCCTTACTGACGCTCAGATTGTAGCTCGTTTTCATAGTTGTTGACAATTTGTGCCTATAAAAATGAACCGCAAGGATCGAATAATCATATCTACTCTTCCTAAATTGTCCATTTTTGTGGACAACCTGGGCGTCAATTAGAGGGACATTACTGTATCGCGACGATACGTCTGCTATGAGATCTGTGTTGTTCGACTGTTCAACGCTTTCTCGAGAACTCGACTGGCAAGGGATGTACGGTCGTCCCAGTCGACGAGTTTTCGAATTGCTAAAACGAAGGAGGGGGAAATTCCTAACCCTTAAAATCGAAGGGAAAATTGCCTTTCATAAAACAATTTCGGGAAAAGTCGTCGCCTATGAGGGCTTTCAGAAGATGAGGCCCAGGATCTGGACATCGTCACTTTTAATATAAATTCTTCCTTGTAATATAAAGAAGATAATAATGACATAATAACAATAATATAAAAAATTACCTTGAGTCCCGGCGCGTACGGCACGCGCATGAGAAGGTTAGAATTTCCGCGTCCGAAGATTCCTCCCCTCCCACACAAACGTTTGGGTCCGCTACAAACGTTTCAACTTTAACGCAAGGACAAATTAACATCGTTTTATCTCGTTTCTACCAAAAGAACTTTGATTTTGTCATTTCACATTATCACTGTGCGGTGAGCAGCGCCGGAGGCCGCAGGAAATCGTGAAATTGTCTTCTCACTTTCGTCAACGAGCCAAAGGGAACGAACCTCGACCGATTTCCCCGCATCGGGCGTCGATCATCCGGTGTTCCTCATTAACGTGGCCACCGTAAGACGCACGATTTACGATAATCGGCTCGGCTCGGCTCGGTTCGGCTCGGCTCGGCGGCGAGCAATTAACACCGGCAGCGCTGTTCACTGTGTCCCCATTCGCTCGTAGGAGTGCGCGCCACATCTATCGGCGATACTTCTGGCTTCTACGATCGAGCGCCGGATAACGACTTGTTGATTAACGATCGGCAAGTTTCGACCTCGAGAAACGAGTTGACGTTTGTGAACCCTGACCTTCGTCGAACGGCGCCAAATCCTCGAAACGAGGCGCGCGCCGTTTCGCTCCTTGATAGATAGTGTCAACCGGCGGGATAGTAGTCGTGGAATTATGGGCTCCAACGCGATAACCCACGCCGATGCCTTTCTTCCCGAAAGGAATCGATTCGGGTCACGTTAGTCATCGAACGTTTCACCGTTAATTTCCAGCGAATTGTGAGAAAATACGAGAGTCCCGAACGGAACCGCCGCGCGTCTTTATGCTAATGAACGTTTCGAAGTCTCTCTTTCGGTAAAGTCGGAACTTTAAAATAACTGCGACTGGAATGAAAAAGAAGGGGGAAGCCGCGTTAATGGTTTGTATATTAATGTATCGAGCAATGAACGTTTCGTCGATGGTGTCGTGTTTCAATGGGCCAGATCCAGTTTGCTCGATGGACACTTATGTTTTGATCATCATACTTTCCCCTGCTGCAGCATGGTCGTGTGTACAGTGGCTCGCGGCACCGTTTCAAACGGATTAAATTTGTCAAAATTGATGGACTGGTTTACTAGAGAATGTCCAAAAATGTTATCAAACGTCGCAAATAGTTTGAATAACGATAAAATAGAAAACTCATGTTACTTAACATTTTGATCCGAGCCTAGAAGATTTCATTGAAATCGGTTTACCTTCGTGATCTAGACATAATTAGCACTCAAACGGCGGACCATTTTGATAAAAATATTGCTTACGTATGCTTCGGATCATTTATAATTATATTTATCAATTTCCTCAACGATTTTCTCTTTGTGGTGCTCCTTCTGGATACGTCAGTTTTGCTGTTGACCTCGGTGTAACATATGAACATTTCAATTAATTGTCGGAAACTAAATGTTTAAGTACAAATATTTAGACCTTGGCTTCGAATAGCACCAAGACCCGCTTTTTGTATGTTAAAGATTGCGAAAATTACAGTTTCCCACGATTTCTAACGGTTTCGACTGATCGCTATGTACAATAAATTCTCTCCAATTGTCCCCCAGCTTGAAAACGAAAATGGACAATTTGGGAAGAGGAGATACGATATTCCGAGTTTTCATAATCGCCGATTGTCAACAATTATGATATAAAAGCAAACCGCGAGGTGATAAATTGTCAATTTCTGTTTAGAAGCTGAGGAATAATTTGAGTTAATTTACTGTTTACTGTTTTTATTATTATCTTTTTATTTATTATTATTATTAGTTATTATTATTTTTTTATTACTGTTTACTGTTTATTGTATTTCGATGGAATTCTCAGCATGCGTGTAGGTCACTGAATCACGTTCTTTGTAAAAATCGTACGTTGTTTTTGCTATTCCAACTAATTGCAATTATCTAACGAAATTTTTAGATCATTCTCTAGCGAACTCGTCCCTGCAACATCTAAGAAAAATTTAGGACATTTGGTCCAATTTCAGAAAAATGTATTCCGTTCGTAAGCCGTAATATCTTCGTAAGCCGTCGTACATCAGTTTCGGAAACTTTGATACGTATCCGTGATCTTGACTAATCTTGGAAGATCATGAATGGAATGATGCACTTCGAAATCACTTTACAATTGCGAGCGTTCGTAACCGCATGGACTATTTAATAAAATTCTCGTCATATCTCCTGAACACATCAATCCAAGAAAGAGTCCATTGCATATATTACAAATCAAGCATCCCAGAAACATTTCGAGCTTGTCTTTCGGCGCGAATAGCAAGTCGGCGCCTGTTTTTAACCGAAAGATGCATCTCGTACTGTATTTCATAAAACACATACACGCCTTGGCACCTTACGTATCCGTGACTTTCGGAACCGGTAAACACCATTTTACACGAACTCAACGGGATCTACGTCGTCGCAAACCCGCGCATAATTTTAAGAAAATTGAGCGATGGTAATTTCGCAGATATCTCGCATACGGTCGGATTTTGCATAAGCAAAGCATACTTATGCAAACTCTTGAAAAAAGAAAATAAACAAGTTCGACACTGCTGCGGGACGAAAGAAGATCGAACCGAGAAATTGGGGGATTCATCAGCGGCGTTACTGCCATCTCGGTTTATCGCGTACAGATGGGCGGCTCGTACGTAATGGTTTGTTTGATAAATTCAGCATGCAAGCATTCAACTGGTAATGAGGCAATACAGTAATTTCTCCCTAATTCGCGCGGAGATTGCGCGCAAGAATGGACAATTTGGGAAGAGGAGATACGATTATTCGGGCCTCGCGGCACGTTTTTATAGTTACCGATTGTCAACAACTATAAAAACGAGACGCACGGTTCCAATAATCGTATCTCCTCTTCTAAATTGTCCATTTTTGTGCACAATCTGAGCGCGAATTAGGGAGAATTTACTGTAATTGATATCGTTGTCGCAGAGGTTCGAACGGATAACCGTGAAATCACCAACAATTATTTCACCGACAATGTTTTCATCGACACGATTTCAGCGACATCGCATTTCACCGGTATCGTTTATACGTATCCGGACACGTTGAAATCACAGACAAATGTTTACATCGACTCTCGTTTCACCGCAAACGTTATTATTGGCGCTTCGTGTACAAGAAATGAAGAAATGGAGACAATCTGTGTTCTACTGGGTGTAGATGTATATCCTAATCAAATCAGAAAGTTACCGATTATCAACAACTATGAAAACGAGCCGCAAGGCTCGAATAATCGCATCACTTCTTCCAAAATCGTCCACTTTTGTGCGCGATCTGAGCGCGAATTAGGAAGAAATTACTGTACCGTTATAAAATGAAAGACCAAACTTTGGACAATGACTATATTAGACGTTTGAAAGGGTAACAGCGGTACCAATGCCACAAGTGCCATTAATTTTGTACATATGCTTAATGTTTTGGGCGGAGAGAAATGTCGGCACTGACTTAACAAATTTAAAGATGATGATTTCGAAATTTTCGATGATTTAAAATCCGGAAGACCCATTCAATTTGACGAGGATCTAGTGTCGACTGAAATAGATATTGTTTCGAGAGATTGTCAGTGAAGTTGAGTAATGGATTCTATTCTCAGCTGTTCACATTAAAAAGAAGAATGGTTCACATCAAGAAAGCTGATCTTCAGCGGTGTCGAAACGACATTACTTACGGGTACCATTGATATTATATCTTCCTGATTTTTTATTAGTGTATATGTTACAGTGAAACACCGAAATCTGGAGAATGTCGACTTTCACCGGTGAATGTCAACATTCACATAGTCGCTTGGTGTATGTCCGAAATATTTGCTAAATACCCTTATTTCTGACTTACACCGGTAAATGTTGACATTCACCATGCACTAATGGTGAATGTTGAACATGTTGGAGATTTATATTTTCTTCTCCGTAATTCAGTCGCTATAAAACGCCACAAGGGTGACGTAACTTTTTCGCCTCTCTTTCTGAAAGGAATGACCAAGAATTTAAAATACACGGTACATTCTACATGAGAAAAGAAAATAATGGTAATAAAAAAATTACTTACTTATGCGATTCAAATCTTATTTATTGCAACAACTTAAACTATTATGACACTTTGAATTGCACAAGAGTCCCTTGCTTTTACAACTGCATTTATTTGTGGAACACTTCCTTTTGCAATGACAGGTTTTGGACCTCCACCAGAGCATATCTGTGATTGTCGACACACACCGGAGAGGGTCCGAATGTACAACAATGTAATGAAATATTCGATCTTTCACCGACGTATTTGGTATCTGTTGACATTCACCGGTGAAAGTCGATATTCTCCAATTTCGGTCATTCACGGTAACATATACATCTACACCCAGTAGAATAGATTGTCTCCATTTCTCATTTCTTATGCACGAAGCGTCGATAATAACATTTGTCGGCGAAACGAGAGTCGATGTAAACATTTGTCCGCGATTTTAACGTGTCCTGATGTGTATAAGCAACGCTGGTGAAATGTGATGTCGCTGAAATCGTGTCGATGAAAACATTGTCGATGAAACAATTGTTGGTGATCTTAAGGTTAAACCTCTTCCACAGCGATATCAATTACAGTAAATTCTCCCTAATTCGCGCTGAGATCGCGCGCAAAAATGGACAACTTGGGAACAGGAGATACGATTATTCGAGCCTTACTTCTTGTTTTTATAGTTGTTGACAATCGATAACTATGAAAACGAGCCGCGAGGCTCGACTAATCGTATCTCCTCTTCCCAAATCGTCCACTTTCGTGCGCAATCTCAGCGCGAATTAGGGAGAGAAATTACTGTACACCGTCGTCGCACTGAAAAATGGGCCGAATAGACGCGAAAAGAGACGATAGAGGGAGGAATCCCGATGCAATGAAGACCCGCTTGCCGGGTGGACAGGGGACACGCAGCCAGAATGAGATATCGTTCCTTGCGGTACTTTTGATCAGCGCGACGCAGTTTCCCTTGGCCTCTGGTCTTCGGCGTAGCTGTATCCTTGCGGATCGTTTATTTATCGGTCACAGAAGGGACACGGCCGGCCTTGGCAACGGCGAGATAGAACGTTTGACACGGCTCCCTAACCCCAAGGACCAGTGCCACTGATCTTCCGGCTTGGGTTCAGCTGTTTTCAGCGACCAACGGTCGAACGTTATACGAAAAGAGTTGCCAATTAACCCCTTGCCCTACGACTACTTTGACAGTTACGTTGATTAGTCCTTCATCGCCATGAACAAATTGTAGGGGAGAGTACGGAGAAACAAGTATTATACAACGTCGACCAAACGGACCTCACACTACTTCACGATCAACCATAGCACCCGTGCACACGTTAGTTTGTTAGTCAGTGTTCGAAATATTTGCGGGTCGAAGTTTCGGTATTCTATTCACGTTTCGCACATTTTTCGAAACGTCCGTTTTAAAAATTAATAACGGTAAGTACATACATCGTTAGATTCTATAGCACTTAACCGTAAACCGGATTGTGATGGCCGCGGCTGTCCCACGCAACTTTAAGCAAGTCATCGTTGACGTACGATAATGTAATTATTTAAAAATTCATGTAGTCCTGTATTGACTCATCGAGTATGCGATATTTTAACGTAAATTTACTTGCGTTTACCAATATGGTAATATGCAATGCTTGCTGAAACAATAACTGCCAGTAATTGGCGCTTTTGGTTAACGGTTAAACCGTACTCTGTGATTTTAATCAATTCTTTATCTCATACTGAAATTTAAACGTCTCGAACGTTTACTGAATTACATCATATCAATTAAATCATATAGGGTAGAATGTGGAATACTTTAGCATAGGGTGAAACGGGACGTCCTAAAATTTAAAATAACTTTAAAGTTGCACAAAACGATTTATATTTTTTCTTCAATATCTAGAGTACTGGACAACGTATAAAATATTATTTTAAAAAGTTGCGATCAGCTGGAGTAACGAAAGAAATAAAATACTCGTGTTTATCAACATTTTCATCAGACTCTGGAACGATAATTTAAACAATGCATTTTGTAGATCACCTTAGTACGTGTTTATTCTTTGTAGCTCTTATTGTATCGTACAATCGTAGTAATCCTGGTTTGTTGTACATATAAGTAGTAAATTGTAGAAGAAAAAAGGAATGTGTAACACAGCGCTCGTACAGAAAGAAAATTATAGCTTGCTTCGCTCATGTTTCTCGCAAAAAGGGCTGCGGATATTTAAAAATAAAAATTTATTCCATCAATTTCGCGAAATGAGAGTTGAATAAAAATGTACCTCTGCTACGTTCTCTTAGTGTACTCTGGTGTTCCTCCTATTTTGTGTTTCATGTTACCATTTTCCTCGTAAATGTAACGTAAAATGATGTATACGCATATCTTCATTTCAGTTACTCAGTCATCCGCGTTCTTTTGGCAAATTATAGAACACTCATAGAAGCTATAAACGCATCAAAATTCGCAGTCTGATCATAAATTATATTGAACCGGCACAATGAGGTTAAATATGCCGTACGGTAACGCGCTATTATGAGTTAGAAACTGAAATATCTAGTATACCGTCAGATATCTCCAACCACTTCTGACGGTTTTAGTGAAAATCAATCTCGTTACTAAATGATAAGCGGCAGAAATATCGCATCAACGCTGCTTCAAATCAAAAACAGTCGTAAACGTGTTTGTAGAGATAATACGTGCATTCCAATTGCACGAATACAGAATTGGAAAGCATAAACGACGGATCTTTTTGATATAAACGTAACCCGGTATGCTTAGAATAAAAACTGAAAATTAAAATTAAAATTAAAATTAAAATTAATTGTTATTTAGAAACAAGCTAATCAAATGACGATGTTCATATTCTAGGACCAAACGGATTCGAGCCTCGCCCTCCGATTGTTAACGGATGCAGACGAGAGTCGATAACAAGGCGAAGTTTATGTGTTTTCAGATTGTAATTGAAACCGAATGCCTGGAACTTGCAATTAGAAGGAACCCAGTCGCCGGGCTGTCACCAGCCCGCGCGTGACTTATGTGCGAACGCTCACCAAACATTAGCAATCGGATCTCTTATCGGCGGACAAAATTCACGGTCGTACGCTTGAAATATTTATCACCGATGTGCGCTGAACTCGCAAACTCCGATGTTTCTCGTAACTGGTAAAACTGGTAACCCGTACGTTTGCTTGGCAGGGAAAACTGTCAGAAATTGATGATGGGAAAGCGCGAGATTTATAAAGTTACCGGGTCGGATCGATGACACCGTTGCAAGCGAAGAAAAAAGTCTTGACCATGACAGGAATTCGAAAAATCTCTGGCACGAGATCCGCGATGACGGAACCGTCGAGGATTACCTTGAGAAGGAAACTCTACGGAATCGGTAATACACTGCCGATAGCTTTGAATAATCGGTGATGCCGACGCGACGGTGGCATCAAAGCTGATGGTTCACTGTTACAATATTTAAATGCTTCTAAACTGTTCACCTTCGTTCCGATATTTATTGGTATTGCCTGTATAATGCCTTAATACCACGGTCAACCGCAGCTGAGGTGCCATTCAGGTGCCACATGTTTCGACTGTCTAGTCCCCTGGTGCGACCTTGCATAGAATCAGCAGGGGCTCCGAGCGATTAACGTCCCATTCATATCTCTGAACAGGGTTATATCTGTCAGCTCGGGCGTCGTTTATTAGCGCGACGCAAGAAATAGCCTGAATCACATCGAAACTCGCCGTTAAAGGCTTTAAACGCCATTGCCACATAGTAGTAGTTGCTCTTCGATCCTCGAACGATCAACGATACTGCACGGCGGAAAAACTGTAAAGAAAAAGAAAATTGCATGTTGAAGGCAATTTGAGCTAGATGATTATATCGACGATGCATCAAATTGTACACAATAACGGATGTTGAAATCTTCAATATCTCATGGAGACCCTGCTGAGCCAACTTTCTACATAACATTGAAATGTATACAGTAAATTCACCCTAATTGACGCTCAGATTGTACACAAAAGTGGACAATTTGGGAAGAGTAGGCACGATTATTCGAGTCTGGTGGCTCGTGTTTGTAGTTGTTGACAATCGGTGACTATAAAAACAAACCGTCCATTTGTCAGATTGTTCAGTTTTGTGCACAATCTGAGCGCCAATTAGGGAGAATTTACTGTACTTAGTAGATACTAAGTGCGTGACCGTCGAATCGTGACATGTGACCTCCTAATTGCCTTCGAATCGTGACATGTGACCTTCGAATTGCCTTCGAGTAGTAGCACGTTTCCTCCGAATTGCCTTCGAATAGTGGCATGCGGCCTCCGAATTGCCTTCGAATAGTGGCATGCGTCCTCCGAATTGCCTTCGAATCGTGGCAAAAAATTAGAAATAAAAATGTTAAGTCATCGTTTTTATTCTAGCATTACTATGTATTCATATTAATGTACACCGGCATCAACATGCCAACGCCACTGCCTTTTTTTGCCGAAATGATATCTGTCACGAAACACAAGATGACTGCGAAGAGATTTGTTCCCACCCTTATCGGTGAGTTTCTGTGTTTCAGTCTTTCTCTGTTTTTAAACAAAATCTGTATAATCCTTTTTACTCAATTCTTTTTGCTTCCTGTTTGCTGGCATTTATCAATAATGTTCCATTTTCTTCTTAAAGCAATCGATAATGAAATGGAAACCTCGAATAAAGGTCTATGTTACTTTTTGATCGAAACTCGGTTCACAGTGTAGTATGATTCTACTATATACTTCAGTGTACGCTAGTTCTGAATACAGTAATTTCTCCCGGAAATGCCAAATTTCGGGTTGTTGTGAATTTCCCTGTGCTAGTCCTACCCCTATATAATTTATTGCTGCGCCCATGCTAAGGGCGACGGAGTCGGTCAAGCGTGTGGTGCGGCACGCGACGCGAATGCCCCGAAGGCAATACAAAGTGATCTGTTTGGATGCGAGTCGGGTAAGAAAAACCGCGGAACTACAAGATACGTGGTAGGTACTAGGTACGTGGTAGGTACTAGGTACGTGATCGTCGTACGTGACCGTCGAATCGTAGCATGTGGCCTCCGAATTGCCTTCGAATCGTGGCAAAAAATTAGAAATAAGAAAGTCAAGCCATCGTTTTTGTTCTAGCATTACTATGTATTCATATTAACCCCTTAACGCGCAGAAACGTATTAACACGGGCGTGCAAAACCGGCCAAAATGTGCAGACCCGTATATATACGGTCGGCGTCGCAACTTATGTTATGTTACCTATATTAATTGAAAAACAGTACGATGGGTACAAAATTCGATCTGCAATGCGATTCAATATTCACTATAATTATTTATCCACTATTTTTATTGAATTTTTAGTAATTTTTGCATTTTTTTTACATATTTATTGAAATTAAGGTCCAAATATGTATATTTTCTTAGATAAAAAAAATTGATTTTTTTTGGTCGGTTTTTTTTTTAAATTGTGCATTAAGGGGTTAATGTACACCGGCATGCTGGTCGCAGTCTTTTTTTGCCGACTGCCCCGAGTGTCCATAAAAACGAGCCGCGAGGCCCGAAGAATCGCGACTTAGTATCCTCAGATCTGCCGGTTTCAATTCCGACCTCCGAACATTTCTAGAAGAAATTACTGTACTTCGTTAGTAGTACTTAACCCTTAACCCTTTCATAGACAAAATTTGAATTTTCAAGATGGTAGTACATTTGAACGGCGAGAATATTTGAACCTGGTGTCCATATGCGCACTAAAAGTAGGTGGGAAGTTTAGTTCCCACTGCCTATATGAAAGGATCAAATAGGAAAAAGAAGCACTTCAATATTTAAAACTTATGGTCCCATTTGGGACCTCAGAACTCTCATTACACCCTGAAAGGGACGATTCTTGACGCGATTTGAAGTAATTTTTTCCTTAGCGATAATATCGATTGCTGCTCCAGAAGGAGGTTCCAATTCAATTATTTAACTTTATCACTAATTATTTAGCAAACAACAATGAGATGACCTCCGAACATTTCTGGCAGAAATTAGTATAAATATAAATTTGAAATTTAACAATGCTGCGTGTAATATATTTAACGGGAGACGGCAAGGGTAACGTGTAACCTGAACGATCACAGAGTTATTCTAAACATAAGTCAATTATCAGCATCGTTCGAATAAAACCGATGGACCGAAGAGGAAATTGAGTCCGCGCACCGAGTAGATAATTATGAAAACAGCCAGCAACAAATTAAAAACTGCGAACAAATTACAGACGTGTTCGTGTGTTTTTTTTTAAACAGGACACCGTTATGTTTAAGTTACAAATATGGGCACCGAGTAGTGATTCAATTATAGAATATTCCATAATTGGGTTATATATATTTATTAGCATCGCATCCTCTTGCAACGCGATTATTTACTTGTGTATATGGCGGGAATGTTCGGGGTGGCATTTACGTACGAGTTCCATGCGACCCGATGCAACGACACTTTGCAGTTTCAGAGAATCGAAATATCGCCGGGCTGCCGTGGCCTGATCGTGACATTAAACTGTATACGGGAGCCGATGCGATTGCGAATCGTGGCGGAGGAGATACCGGTTCCTTAAACAGAGGCCGCAATAGGATAATACTTTCCCGTTTATCAAGATTTAAGCGCTTGATGAGGTTACCGAGCGCTGTTCCGATGCCTGAAAATGGCTAAAACGAGTTATTCCGGAAAATGCCGTTCCGCGATGAATTTTTAAGGGACCTTAAGCCTTCGCGAGCCATTCTTCGCTTCGATAGCTACCAAACGGAACCGGTTACGAAAATGGCACGCCCTTGTCGGCCTGTATTTACGAAACGTAACGAATCGGGCGAACAAAATCTACGTTTTCAACGTTAAATTCGTGGAAGCCGGATCACATTGACCAATATTTATGTCTCGCCGCCGTCACCGGGGAGAAGTCTGACGATTTTTATTATTGCTTAATCGAACAATAAATTTCGGTAAATATACCAATGAAAAGATTTACCGCGGATGCTGTCGCGCACGGCGCGTAGAAAGCATCCTCTTAACGAGCGTAAATCATAATGAATTGCGCGACGGCGAAGATTAAAATGATCTAACGTATTTACAGGACGAGTCTGCGGCAAACGTTCGTCGCTACGTAAGCGCGCAATAAAAGAAACCAGAATCCACGTACACACGTCTTTTACAAAATAGACGGCAGTTTTTTTTTTATTCTGTACGATTTTATATCTTAGCTCCGAAATACTAATATACTCGACGAATCGATTTTACGGTTCCAATGTGTAAAATTATTAAAATTGTAATAAATATAATGTGAAAAATATTGTATGGTTACTCTTGAGACCAGAGGGTCTTTAGATATATTTTTGATGAGCGCAGCTCGCATAGAAGTGCGTCTTCTACGAGAAGTGGATATTTCATTAACAGTTTTGTTA